ATATCTTAATTTGTGCTCCGAAGATGAAAATTACGTTTTTTTTAATGGGTTTGAAACGATATGAGAGTGAGTAATTAATGACAGAATTTTAATTTTTGGGTGAACTAACCCTTTAAGAGCCTTTCTGAGAATTATGCAAGTTCAATGCCACACATTAATACAACATTATGAACAAGTGTCATTAGATCTGCTTCATCAGTAGCTTCACCTTGATGAATTTCACAAGACGATCACATGCTTGTCTAGCTGAGATCTTTCCCGGTCTTTTGCAGCATTGACTTGAGGGTGGCAAAAGATGAAGCAGCACCAGAATGGAAGACATGTCGCTGTCCCAACCTGGAGACAGGGAAAACAAAATAAACAAAATTTTTTTTAGGCTTTTAGGTTTTTAGTTTTTAGGTAGAAAAACACCCTCCTGCTCATTTTAACCTGACGTAACTTCATTGGAAGATGAATACAATACAAATACATTAACCACTCCAGTACATTAGTTTATGCTGCACACAGATTCAGTATTAACAGCACATTCATGACCAAGTCTTGATGACTACAGATGGCTGGATGAATTGAGCTGAAACCTCTACAAGTATTGAAATGAAGTCATACAGTTAAACTTTATCAACAACATGATTCTGTTATTCAGAGTCCCAAATGAAAACAATTTCTTACTGTAAATCTGCAACTCCTGTACTAGGCCCTTGCGAAAAGATCAGGGTATAAATGTTTGAAAATAAATGAAAGAGATTGAGAGGCGACAGCTACTTACATAACCAAACTTGCTCCTGGGGTCAACCAAGTATGGGAATAGGGCGATGATTCCCTTTGCACATTTTTCTTTTAAACTTCGGGAAAGGCTTGTTCTACATGCACAAACATAAACCAATTACAACCCATAACATCATAAACATCAATTTACAAAGTACTGTATGAACAACCTACCCATGTTCATTTGTCAAATGTGCTACCAAGATTTTCACCATGTCACGTCTTCGGCCATCTGACAGACTTTTAGTGTGTGCGTATTTTTTTATGACCTTTTCACCTCCAGGGCTGCTCTTTAGGATATCTTCGAACATCTGGAGGAAGGAATGATGTAATATTGCAGAGCAGAGATGAGAAATTAGCAATTGACAAGTGTATATAGCTCCAAATATCTTTAATATTTAAGTCATTCTATATAGATGTAATTCAGAGGCAAGACTGGTGATTCTTACTTGGTCTGAGAGTGCAAGCGCCAAGCAGCAGCCAGACCCTTCTCAACAGTTTGGGGAGGAGTCACAGTTACTCTATAATTTTGCTCCCACTCTACTGACACATTTTACTCTGTACACTCAAAATAGAGTAAAAACAACTATTTTTGAGGAAAAAAATATTAACTCTGGAAAAACAACTCCGCCATTTTTCCTGTGTATAGTGTCTGTAACCCTGTAAGAGTGAATTGGTCATTGCTCTGCTGCTCCCCGAGGCCACAGATGCAGACCTGTACGTGTTTTGCAGAATCTTTAATAATTCACAAAGTGGGCGCTTCTGCTCTCCTGGGCTGTTTCATTTCATATTTTTTGGTAATAATAGCTTGTCATTGGTTGGGTGATATACTCACAATGGTTTTGCTGATGATTTAGAATTTAGCAACATTGTGAATCACAAATTGTCTTCCAAAGAGCATGTTATTAGATTAGAAAGACAGACGTTGTAAGCAGGGTTATTATAGTTAACTAAAACTAAAACTGAAACTAAAATTAAAAGCATATTAAAAACATTTTTGTTACTTGAAATAAAATAAATGTTAATTAAAAAAAAAAAAAACTATAATAGTATCTCAGTGTAACTAAACTTGCACTGGTTATAAGTGCATTTAAATTAATGAAGGTAGAGTTCAATTAAATTAAGCTAGAGAAGTTCAATTAATTTCTGTCCCTCAGAAATGCTCACTAATAGCACTAATAGCAAATGCTCACTAATAGCACACTTTATTGCTGTTCTGTGTGTCAGTGAAAATGACTGATTAAATATCACTCTTATTATTCATTAGTTTAAAATTCTGTGAATTCATTTTAGCTAGATAGTTTTTTTTTTACATCTTACATTAAACATTTGAGTATTTTTGGATCCCTGAGTGGGAAAAACAGCAATACCGCTCTTTGAGGCTATATATATATATATATATTTTTTAAGGCCTGTTTTCGATATCAAATCCTTGAGGAATATCACGAGCATGTTTGGCACAGTTGCTGTTGGATTTCATGTTGTCATAGCATGGCTTCTGAACCCTGGCCGGCTCTCAATGGATTTCAACCAACAAGAACTACAAGAGCATCACTCTAAAGTCCCTGTGTGCTTTTTGATGGCCTGACATTTCCCCTGATCTTCATGCAGGCCAAGTGAAAGGCCCAGGTTAGTGTAGAGGATATCCGTGAGCTTCCATGTTAGTCAATGATGAGGGGATGTTTTCCTTTGGGTGCTTGTACACCAGAGCAGTTGCTCTGCTTGTTTTGGTGTGAAGGCTGTTTTCTCAACTGAGATAAACTGAACTCGTACTAAAGGACTTAGTCTGCATGAAAATGAGGGTTTGGGATTTTCAGTTTCTATTTGTGCTCAACAGTTTACAGTTTGTATACAATGCAGCCTATGTTGCAGAAATGCATTTTTCATTGTTTCTGTCTTTGCACACTGGGATTGTGGGAGGAAATTTGGAAATGATAAGTGTTTTTGTTACAAAAACCGTGATGCAGCAAATGCGGATGGAATCACAGATTCTCTCATAGTCACTATGATCATTTCACCATTTTATGGGGAAATTTTTTTTTTCATCAGATACACAAAGAAACTCAAAGGTCTTAACAATTTACTTTTAAAGTCATTAACAATTTAATTAATCTTTTAATCTGTAATCAAATTAAATTTTAAATTAAAGTAAAATAAAATAAATACATTTATAAAATTAAACAAATTTGCATTAAATCATAAAACCAAAAGTTTAAGGTGCACTAAGCGATTTTTGAAAAACGCTTTTGACCAGAGCGTCAGACCGAGTCCCAAAACACACTTGTAGCCAATCAGCAGTAAGGGGGCGTCTTGAAGAGAGCGCTGTATTTGAGTGCACAGGACGGATATTAGCAGATCGACTATAGATAGAGAGAAATGGCAGAGGAAAATATCAGAGAAACAAAACATTTAAAAGAAGGGTTACGATCAGGCAAGATGTAGGACCCGCGTAAATATCGGAGCAGCTTTCCAGCGGTGGAGAGAACTGAAGGAGCGGGAAGGCCTGGAAGTGTTGTTTCTTCTTGATAGGTGCGTAATGTTGATTTTGCTTCATTTCACCCAACTTATCTGTGTTGACTTTTGTTTGAATATGCTTGTGTGTCATCTTCACTTGTTTCCGCGATCATCGTTGCCATGGTAATGTACGTACATGTGGGGCGGAGATTTCAAAATAAGGGCGAGGTCCTGTTGGGGTATGGGCGTGTTTGTTTTGGTGCTTTCAAATATAAACATCGTTTGGCAAAAATCGCTTAGTGCACCTTTAAAACAGAAAACACAGATTTTCTGAACAATAAAACATTTAATAGGGTGCTATTATTGTAAGAAATTATGAATTTCTTAAAGTTTTATGAATTTAATTGATTATACATGCTTTTTGATTAAAATGTAATTAAATCATTAAAACAGAGTAAAAAAACTAAAACAAATCAGAATTCAAACAAAAAAATCGTAGGGTGCTAAAAAACCATTTTCATTCGATATTATAAATTCTGAATAAATTGTTAAAATGTGCAAGTTTCATGTTTTTGATTAAATAGGCATGCTTTTTGACATGATTTTTGATTACTTAAATTTAAGTTGGCCATTAAATAGAATCCGGAAAAATGAAAATTGAATTAATGGAAAAAATAAAATACAATTGGTGAACCTCAGGGGAATACATTTAAAAGAAGTATGATATGAGCCCTTTAAGTGGCAAAAACATGAGTAAAAAAGTGATTCCAACATACAGCGATTCAGTGATACTGCGGGGGTCGTAGCAATCAAAGTGAGTATGAAAGCGTTACTAGAGGACAAGTAGACTGGAACCGTCCTCTGTCGTCTCCACTGATAGACCTTTATTGTCCGAGTGCCACAGGTGTCATGATGGTGGGCTGAATCTGCTGCTCTAATGACAGCATTCACTGGATGCTCAGAGTCACTCTTATTGATTACTGTCACTCTCATCCAGTGCAGATGATGAAAAGAATCTCACTGATTGGATTCCAGTGTGTGTCAGCCTGACTACATTCACATGCACCCTCACGAGTTAATTTAAACTGAAGACATAACCATATGAATATATAATTGGGCTGTCGCGATTCGTCGATTTTATTAGACTATTCGATTTTTAAAAATCCTCGACTTCATTTTGCTCGCGTTGACTAACCGGTAAAATACCGGAAGTGGCGCATTTCACGGACGAGAATCCATAAAACACATTATTAGACTGTTTCCCAAGGCTGCATGATATATTAAACCCATTTAAAAATCATAATTAAGCATAATTGTGAATTCACAAACGCTATGATTTAATGAAATAATTATATGTGATGCAGTTCTAATACAGTATATGCGCTTTAATTATTTACATGCGTGTAGGTTAAGTACGTGCATCACACAGCGGCTCCGTTCACAGTAGTTCCACAGGAACTGTTATCATTTACATGTGTGGAGCGTCTCAAACTCCAT